TGGTTTACATGGAAAAACCCTATTAAGTTGCATTATACTGGTTTACATGGAAAAAACCCTATTAAGTTGCATTATACTGGTTTACATGTAAAAAACCCTATTAAGTTGCATTATACTGGTTTACATGGAAAAATCCCTATTAAGTTGCATTATAATGGTTTACATGTAAAAAAACCCTATTAAGTTGCATTATACTGGTTTACATGAAAAAACCCTATTAAGTTGCATTATACTGGTTTACATGGAAAAAATCCCTATTAAGTTGCATTATACTGGTTTACATGGAAAAATCCCTATTAGGTTGCATGATTACACTGAAGTCCTTGAAACTGCTGAAGTCCTTGAAACTGCTGAAGTCCTTGAAACTGCTGAAGTCCTTGAAACTGTTGAAGTCCTTGAAACTCTTGAAATCTTGAAACTGCTGAAATCCTTGAAACTGTTGAATCCTTGAAACTGTTGAATCATTGAAACTGTAGAAATGTCTGAAAGAGCTGAAGTCCTATTAAAATGCATGGGCCTATTAAAATGCATTGCAGAATTCTCAATGCAGATTTTTGTCCGATTGCGGAAAAACCGGAAATCGCTGAAGTCCCAAAAGTAATAGCAATAATCTCCCAAACATGTGGAACGTTTTGATGTATAACTTGTGGAAATTGTTGAAAATGTGAAAGCTGTGAAACGTGTCAAAAAAAACTAGAAACTTGCAATGGCTGAAGCCATTGCGATTGACTGCGGAACAGATCTAATGTGGAAATCTGCTAAAAAAAATCCTTGAAATCCTTTAAAAGGCCTTGAAACTGTTAAAATACTTGATAGATATTTGAAACTCCTGAAGTCCTTGAAATTGTTGAAACCTTTAAACTCCTGAAATCCTTGAAACTGTTGAAACATTGAAACTCCTGAAATCCTTGAAACTTTTTTAAACCTGGAAACTGTTGAAAGTGTGGAAACTCCTGAAATCCTTGAACCTCCTGATATCCTTGAAACTGGTTAAATTCTTAAACAGTTGAAATCCTTGAAACTACTGAATGTATTGAAAGTGTCCTTGAAACTGAAAAATCCCCTCACCGCTGAAACAATTTGGTTCCTGTAACTAAGGAAACCTGGTCTGTGGTCATTATCTGGTGGTGGTCTGAGTCTTCGTTTGGGTCTTGGTCTGGTGGTATAATGCAACCTATTAGGTTGCATTATACTGGTTTACATGGAAAAATCCCTATTAGGTTGCATTATACTGGTTTACATGGAAAAATCCCTATTAGGTTGCATTATACTGGTTTACATGGAAAAATCCCTATTAAGTTGCATTATACTGGTTTACATGGAAAAATCTCTATTAAGTTGCATTATACTGGTTTACATGGAAAAATCCCTATTAGGTTGCATTATACTGGTTTACATGTACAAATCCCTATTAAGTTGCTTTATACTGGTTTACATGTAAAAACCCCTATTAGGTTACATTATAGTGGTTTACATGTAAAAATCCTTATTAAGTTGCATTATACTGGTTTACATGTAAAAACCCCTATTAAGTTCCATTATACTGGTTTACATGTAAAAACCCCTATTAAGTTCCATTATACTGGTTTACATGTAAAAACCCTATTAAGTTGCATTATACTGGTTTACATGGAAAAAACCCTATTAAGTTGCATTATACTGGTTTACATGGAAAAATCCCCATTAAGTTGCATTATACTGGTTTACATGGAAAAAACCATAAGTTGCATTATACTGGTTTACATGGAAAAAACCCTATTAAGTTGCATTATACTGGTTTACATGGAAAAATCCCTATTAAGTTGCATTATACTGGTTTACATGGAAAAATCCCCATTAAGTTGCATTATACTGGTTTACATGGAAAAAACCCCATTAAGTTGCATTATACTGGTTTACATGTAAAAAACCCTATTAAGTTGCATTATACTGGTTTACATGGAAAAAACCCTATTAAGTTGCATTATACTGGTTTACATGGAAAAAACCCTATTAAGTTGCATTATACTGGTTTACATGGAAAAAACCCTATTAAGTTGCATTATACTGGTTTACATGTAAAAAACCCCTATTAAGTTGCATTATACTGGTTTACATGGAAAAATCCCCATTAAGTTGCATTATACTGGTTTACATGAAAAAAACCCTATTAAGTTGCATTATACTGGTTTACATGAAAAAACCCTATTAAGTTGCATTATACTGGTTTACATGGAAAAATCCCTATTAAGTTGCATTATACTGGTTTACATGTAAAAATCCCTATTAAGTTGCATTATACTGGTTTACATGTAAAAAACCCTATTAAGTTGCATTATACTGGTTTACATGTAAAAATCCCTATTAAGTTGCATTATACTGGTTTACATGTAAAAAAACCCTATTAAGTTCCATTATACTGGTTTACATGTAAAAACCCTATTAAGTTGCATTATACTGGTTTACATGGAAAAAACCCTATTAAGTTGCATTATACTGGTTTACATGGAAAAATCCCTATTAAGTTGCATTATACTGGTTTACATGGAAAAATCCCCATTAAGTTGCATTATACTGGTTTACATGAAAAAAACCCTATTAAGTTGCATTATACTGGTTTACATGGAAAAATCCCTATTAAGTTGCATTATACTGGTTTACATGGAAAAATCCCTATTAAGTTGCATAATACTGGTTTACATGGAAAAATCCCCATTAAGTTGCATTATACTGGTTTACATGTAAAAAACCCTATTAAGTTGCATTATACTGGTTTACATGGAAAAATCCCTATTAAGTTGCATTGTACTGGTTTACATGGAAAAAACCCTATTAAGTTGCATTATACTGGTTTACATGGAAAACACCCTATTAAGTTGCATTATACTGGTTTACATGTAAAAACCCCTATTAAGTTGCATTATACTGGTTTACATGGAAAAATCCCCATTAAGTTGCATTATACTGGTTTACATGAAAAAACCCTATTAAGTTGCATTATACTGGTTTACATGGAAAAATCCCTATTAAGTTGCATTATACTGGTTTACATGGAAAAATCCCTATTAAGTTGCATTATACTGGTTTACATGGAAAAATCCCTATTAGGTTGCATTATACTGGTTTACATGTACAAATCCCTATTAAGTTGCTTTATACTGGTTTACATGTAAAAACCCCTATTAGGTTACATTATAGTGGTTTACATGTAAAAATCCTTATTAAGTTGCATTATACTGGTTTACATGTAAAAACCCCTATTAAGTTCCATTATACTGGTTTACATGTAAAAACCCTATTAAGTTGCATTATACTGGTTTACATGAAAAAAACCCTATTAAGTTGCATTATACTGGTTTACATGGAAAAATCCCTATTAAGTTGCATAATACTGGTTTACATGGAAAAATCCCTATTAAGTTGCATTGTACTGGTTTACATGGAAAAAACCCTATTAAGTTGCATTATACTGGTTTACATGGAAAAAACCCTATTAAGTTGCATTATACTGGTTTACATGTAAAAACCCCTATTAAGTTGCATTATACTGGTTTACATGGAAAAATCCCCATTAAGTTGCATTATACTGGTTTACATGGAAAAATCCCCATTAAGTTGCATTATACTGGTTTACATGAAAAAAAACCCTATTAAGTTGCATTATACTGGTTTACATGGAAAAATCCCCATTAAGTTGCATTATACTGGTTTACATGGAAAAAATCCCCATTAAGTTGCATTATACTGGTTTACATGAAAAAACCCTATTAAGTTGCATTATACTGGTTTACATGGAAAAATCCCTATTAAGTTGCATTATACTGGTTTACATGGAAAAATCCCTATTAGGTTGCATGATTACACTGAAGTCCTTGAAACTGCTGAAGTCCTTGAAACTGCTGAAGTCCTTGAAACTGCTGAAGTCCTTGAAAACTGCTGAAGTCCTTGAAACTGCTGAAGTCCTTGAAACTGCTGAAGTCCTTGAAACTGTTGAAGTCCTTGAAACTCTTGAAATCTTGAAACTGCTGAAATCCTTGAAACTGTTGAATCCTTGAAACTGTTGAATCATTGAAACTGTAGAAATGTCTGAAAGAGCTGAAGTCCTATTAAAATGCATGGGCCTATTAAAATGCATTGCAGAATTCTCAATGCAGATTTTTGTCCGATTGCGGAAAAACCGGAAATCGCTGAAGTCCCAAAAGTAATAGCAATAATCTCCCAAACATGTGGAACGTTTTGATGTATAACTTGTGGAAATTGTTGAAAATGTGAAAGCTGTGAAACGTGTCAAAAAAAATGACGGAATAAAGAAATACAAAACCAATGGTTGACTGCGGAAGGTCCGCAGTCAATCAATTAACTCAAATTAGGATAAAAACCATTCAAGCAATTATCACCTCATATTTTATCATTTTTTGCAGCGTTCTTTCAAAAACTGCTTCTGTCTGACATAAAAACAGAAATAGAATTCGAGAACATGGACGCAGCCTGTTAGACAAAACGAAGCACCGCACTTTGCCGATGTCCTTTTAGGATCCATCACCTGCTGCTCGGTGTCGTCGGTGCCGCTCACATCTGACGGATCGCACCATTTCTCCTGAAAACGGGACAGATGGAGGATCGCGGTTGTGCATCACCGCCCGCGCAGGTTAACTACTTGAATAATGCGCCGAGCGGACGTTTTAACTCCCATCAGCTCTGTTTCCACCTCCTCAGCTCCTTGCACTGAAAAAAGTCAAATCCTGTGAAGATTTGTGAACTAAAAATAACATGAATGCTGCTTAAGCTGCTTGAATGTAGTTTGTCATGTGAGATTATTTTATGAATTAAATAATACTTGAAATGTATGTTTTTATTTTAGAATAAAGTCATTTGGGGCTAGTATTATTTTCTTATTTTCAGAAATTGTCCAATTATACTTTCATTTTCTATTGGCCGGTCATTTTTCTTATTTTAAGCAGTATTTTACTTATTTTTGTATATTCTTGTATTTTTTTTCAAGGCTTTTTTCCAGTGTAGTCCTACTCCTGCTGGTGCTCCTGCCCTGAAAAAAACATCTCATTAATTAAGTTGGTTTATTGGAATACACACAAACACAAAAATGTTTGTGTGTGTGTGTGTTTCCCCTAGAGGAGGGGAAACACACACACACACACACACACACACACACACACACACACACACACACACACACACACACACACACACACACACACACACACACACACACACACACACACACACACACACACACACACACACACACACACACACACACACACACACACACACACACACACACACACACAGACACAGATCATGTGAAAGAAGGACAAAGCTTTGTAAGAAGAGAGTCTATGTCGAGGGGAAACGAGACAAATTGGCGATGGTTTCCTCTTTCATCATCTTTTAATCTTAAAAACAGCTTCTGCGGCGTCTACGGGAAAAACTCCCTTTTTTTGGTCATTTATTTTTAAAGAGCGAGAAAGAGAACAGTGAAAAGTCTGATGTGTGCCAGGATTAGTCTCGCTCACCATTAGGAGCAGCATGTCCGAGAGCAAAGGCTAATTTTGTGGTTGTATCATTTTCTACGCCAACTTTGTAGAGATTTAGGCGTCAAAGCAAAAGAGTTCGCAAGATAAAATAACAGGCTTAATGTAAGAACAAGGAATTTAACACCAGAAGTTCTTTTCTAGTGTTTCTGCTGCGTTCTGTAAATGACCTATATGTACAGGGCGACAGTGGCTCAGTGTGTAGGGCATTGGCCTTTGACCCAGAGGGTCGTGGGTTTGAGCCCAACTCTCACCATCGACTCCCACTGTCTGCTGTCGTTGTGTCCTTGGGCAAGACACTTAACCTCTGGGAACACCAGCCACAGTGGGGCGGCTGCGGCTGTAAAGTGCCAAACTGCCGTTGTGTCCTTAGGCAAGAAACTTCCCCCACATTAGAATGAGTCTGGTGTGTGTATGAATGGTTGGTGGTGGTGGGAGGGGCCGATGGCACAGACTGGTTGCCTCGCTTCTGTCAGTGTGCCCCAGGGCAGCTGTGGCTACAGTAGTTTATCACCACCGTGTTTGGAGAGAGAGAATAATGTTGTGTTTGAGAGTCCAAAAAAGCGCTGTTTAAAACTGATGCATTATTATTATGTGTAGGGGAAGCCCTCATGCACGATTTGCTTAGAATTCTAGTTACAGAACACAGAGTAATAATGCACTGGCTTTATACTAATAAAAATTGTCCACTCACCTTTGGCCCTCCGTGGGCGGTTATCCCTCTCTAAGCTCGGGTCCTCTACCAGAGGCCTGGGAGCTTGAGGGTTCTGCGCAGTATCTTTGCTGTTCCTAGCACTGCACATTTCTGGACCGAGATGTCCGAGGTTGTTCCAGGGATCCTCTGTAACCTCTTCTAGCTTCGGGGTCACTGCCCCGAGTGCACTGATCACCACGGGCACTACTGTGACCTTTACCCTCCAGGCCCTCTCCAGCTCCTCTCGGAGACCTTGGTATTTCTCAAGCTTTTCATGTTCCTTTTTTCCGGATGTTACCATCGCTTGGAATTGCCACGTCCACCACCACGGCTGTCCTCTGCCCTTTGTCCACCACCACGGCTGTCCTCTGCCCTTTGTCCACCACCACGGCTGTCCTCTGCCCTTTGTCCACCACCACGGCTGTCCTCTGCCCTTTGTCCACCACCACGGCTGTCCTCTGCCCTTTGTCCACCACCACGGCTGTCCTCTGCCCTTTGTCCACCACCACGGCTGTCCTCTGCCCTTTGTCCACCACCACGGCTGTCCTCTGCCCTTTGTCCACCACCACGGCTGTCCTCTGCCCTTTGTCCACCACCACGGCTGTCCTCTGCCCTTTGTCCACCACCACGGCTGTCCTCTGCCCTTTGTCCACCACCACGGCTGTCCTCTGCCCTTTGTCCACCACCACGGCTGTCCTCTGCCCTTTGTCTACCACCACGGCTGTCCTCTGCCCTTTGTCCACCACCACGATGTCAGGTTGGTTCATTACCATTCGGTCGGTCTGTATCTGGAAGTCCCACAGGATCTTTGCTCATTCTCCACCACCTTTGGAGGAGTTTCTTAGTCCTTGGGGTTTCCAGCCCATACTCTCCACAGATGTTTCTGTACACTATGCCAGCCACTTGGTTATGGCGTTCCATGTAGACCTTCCCTGCAGCATCTTGCACCCTGCAGTTATGTGTTGGATCGTCTCAGGTGCCTCTTTGCACAACCGACACCTTGGGTCTTGTCTGGTGTGGTATATCTGGGTCTCTATCGCTCTGGTGCTCAGTGCCTGTTCCTGTGCAGCCATGATGAGTGCCTCTGTGCTGTCCTGTAGGCCAGCCCTTTCTAGCCATTGGTAGGACTTCTTGAGATCAGCCACTTCTGTTATGCTCCGGTGGTACATGCCGTGTAGGGGCTTGTTCTCCCATGATGGGCTCTCCTCCAGCACCTCCTCATCTCGCCACTGCCTGAGACATTCACTGAGTACGTCATCCGTTTTGGCCTTCTCCATGATGTAGTTATGGAGTTTGGATGTTTCGTCCTGGACAGTGGCTCTCACACTCACTAGTCCTCGGCCTCCTTCTTTACGGCTTACGTACAGTCTCAGGGTGCTGGATTTGGGATGGAACCCGCCATGCATGGTAAGGAGCTTTCGAGTTTTAACATCCGTGGTCTGAATATATAATAAATATATATATATTATAGATCAGTGGTTTAGGTCAGGGGTGTCCAACCGATCGTCAAATGGCAGGTGTGGCAGGTTTTAATTCCAAAGAAGTGAGTCCAGTCGTAACCTGAAGATTTGAGGAAATGGGAGCAGTCTGGTGTGTTTCTGCTCAGTTGGAATTAAAACCTAAATCTCAAATAATTTTTGTATAGCGCTAAATCACAACAGTAGATGTTGTTCTTGAACGTGGGAGGTGTGTACTGTCTGGTGCACACTGGGGTTGTCTTACACAGTTCAACTCCTTTTGCAGATGAAATGATTGGATCGGAGTTAGCTCGGGTGTATGAGTGAGTCTTGCTTCAGCTTAAACTTCTTGATCGAACCAGAACAGAATTCTTTACTATCGCATTCTCCGCCATTGCAAAACTACAACACCCACCCCCCGCGCTGCACTCGCTGATTGGTCGGATGGGATTCTACCGATGTAGTTGTAGACACTGGGACTAGACCCAAACGGTAAATGCAGGGAAATGATAATTGACCAGAGTTTATGGATGGCTAAGGCCAGGCTAGTTTTTTCCTAAAATTTGGGAAAATCCTCCTCCCCACTAAACATCCGACGTCCACTCAACCTCCAGATCACGTCAATATCGCGTCGGTCGGTCGTGACCTTTTATTCACGTCCAAACGACGTATGTGCAAGGTGCGCATCTGGACGTAAAACAATGACCTCCCATAGACGTGGATATGACGTCCAATCCCGACCTCCCCTAGACGTGGAAAACAGGTCATCGGCCGACCGACGCAGTACGTCTTGATCTAGCAATACAATATCCTATATATTGTATTGCTAGATCAGGCAATACTTACACTGAAGCAGTGTAAGTGTACCTGACGGTAGTGTAGTGGTTAAGCAAATGTGTGCAGCCTTGGTTACGTGAGTTCGGGCCCACGTGTGTGTATCATTATCTTTACATATTTGTTTTGATTTTTAGCGAACAATTTTTTTCTGTTTGGTTAAAGACTAATAAACACTCAACATAGGATTACGTAGTGGCTAATAATAAAACTTGTGAATGTATGCATTTGTTGTGCTAACAATCTCAAGTTTGCAAATAAGGGGTGAGCACTTGAGATTGTATGCATGGGTTCACAAGTTTTATTATTAGCCACTACATAATCTTATGTTGAGTGTTTATTCGTTTTTAACCAAACAGAGAAAAATTGTTCGCTAAAAAGTGAAAAGTCAAAAATTTTCCGACGGGGATTTGAACCCGCGTCATTGTGACTGAAATCTCATTACGCAACCGCTACACCACCGCCAGGCATTTCTTTTGACTACTGTGAAAAAATAATAGATAACACCCTAAACAACCGACGCACACTTATGCGAGGTTACAGCCTGACACGTGAGTCGGTCGAGGACCTGTTTTCCACGTCTAAACGACGTAAGGTCTGGACGTAAAGCAATGTCTTCCCAGACGTTGATATGACGTTGAATCTGTCGCTGCCCTGCTTTATTTACTTGGAATCACCCTCTCTAGTAAGTACACAGTCTGCACAGTTTTTAGATATAGATGTATCATTTCCACATTGAAAAGAGTTGGAGACAGAAAGTAAGTTGTTTTCTCACGTATACGTGGAATTTGTTAAGTATATTTTGTATATTATCTGTATTTTGAATTGCCAGTGCATTCATCTATAATAATAACGGCTGGCACCTTTTTTTAGTTTTTAAGTTAAAGTTTAAAATATGTAATTGTTTTTCATATTTCAAACTATTTTTAACACATTAGAATTCTTAGGTTAGACTGTCCAACAAACTATGTGTTAAAAAAGGTTAAGATTCTTGAGTTTTAAAATAATAATTCAATTCTAAAATGTAAAGTTACTGTATATTTCACAATGGTTTATAAACTGCAAAAAGACAACAGTACTTAGTAAACTAAGTTTAAAAACAGGGAGATCAGCTTTAATATTTGGGACACTCCCATCATTTAGACACCTGTGATGTCATCAGTTGGAGTTGAGTTCAGGTGTGGGACCATGTGGGACCATGTGGGACCATAGGAGCACACAGATGTTACCTGCTGCAGAAAGAGAGTTTAATGTTCATGTATTGCTTTATTTAATAAATGGATTTAATGTCTTCCCAGGTCTTCAATGTCAGAGACTTTCACTTCTTCTCACTGTGGCTGTTTAAATGAGCCACTACAGTTGTTATTTTTGTTATTGTTAGCTGCAAATATTAAATATCCATTCATCTGCTGGTAGCAAGCTAACTAGCGCTTGCAACTCTATTCAATTTCTTACTTTAAAACTAGTGTTCATAACACTGTGTGGTTTAACATGTAGAGAAACATGATTTTTAATGCAGCTCCATTTGCAATAATGACTGATATCCTTCTACTACAGTTGTTCTAATGATTTTTGAATGCTGTGTTTATCGTTTATTGCCCAGAGTCAGAACTAAACATGATAAAGCTGCATTTCAGATTCACAAGGCTAAAATCTGGAACGGTCTTCCTGGAAATGTGAGACAGGCTTCTTCTTTGACAATGTTAAAATCCAGGTTTAAAACACTTCTGTTTCTGCTTCAACTGAGAGATTTTATTTGTATCCTTTTAATTTACTGTCAATATTTATAATTGTAATGCCTTGTTTGATTGTTTCTTTTGTTCAGTGCTTTGAGTTTCCTTTTGTTTTGACTGTGCTATACAAATAAACTTGCCTTGCCTATTACAAAAAGTATGTCTCGACTAGTAAGTGATTCTGCAGAGGTTAAGTAGGTCAATAGGACTGTAAATGGACGCCATATAAACGTCAATATTTTGGTCATATAAGACGTTGATAGGACGTCGGACCCGACCGGTTCTGTACCACATTCAAACCTTGAATGAACGTCCAGATGACGTTGAAATTACGTTGTTTTGACATCTGCTTGCTTAGTGGGAACGACTGAAAACGAACGTCATATAAACGTCAATATTTTGGTCATATGAGACGTTGATAGGACGTCAGACCCGACCGGTTCTGTACCACATTCAAACCTTGAAACAACGTCGAGAAAACTTTCATTCTGCACCCACCAGTGACCTATATTCTACGTCGGACAACGACGTTGAAATGACGTTGATTCAACGTCGGCTTGCTTAGTGGGTCTATGCCTTTAAGGGAGGGATCCTAAAACCTACAGCCGCCTGGCCCTCTCTGGAACCAGAGTGACACCCTTGGTTTGAACATATTTCCTTTTATCAAACCATATTTGTCTGTGATCTTTGTTAATACAAGGTTTTACCACTCGGCGATCCTCGTGAGGAAAACAGACATCTCTAAAATTGACAATGACTTTAAAGAGAATCAGAAAGAACAGAACATGAAAGACAATGAGCAGTCTGCACAGTGGGATTTTTGAGACACTTTCCTTTATTTAAAAAATAGTTGATTTGCTGAGAATAAAGAATAGAAGGTAGTGCACTAGGCTATAGTTGATATTAGTGCTTTGTTCACATGTAGCAAAACTCCACAGGACACGGCTGGCAGCTACCGGGAAGTGGCACATCAAACACACCGCTTCCAAACTGCAGACGCCGCTCACATACTCCGCTTTCCACACACGGCGGATTACAGAAGATTACAGAAACACATATGATGAAGGTGTGAGGAGAGAAATAATCTAACGGACAAAAAAAACCACTCCATCTTCTCAAAACACCCAAACATCCTGCCTCCTTCCTTCAATGAGAGCGACTATTGACAAAAAAAAAATCTACAAGAAAACAGTGTCTTTGAAAAATAATAAGCACAAATAATACATTATACACAGACATACATGAAAAAGATGGTTGGCATTTGAAAAAAACAGATTTTCGTATTCACAGGAATTTATTATCACTATATTTATATTGAAAGATGTAGCACCAGAGGACTTCTTGTCTGCACGGTTGTCAGCGAGATCATGTCTAGTACGCGTCTGTGCGTTGGCAGTTCAAAGGCGTGTTTTTAATTGAGCAAGGTAATTTCTGAAGCGTGTTGTATACCATCTGTAGTATGAAGACATAAAAATAGTCCCAATGTTGAATGTGCCAACTGTGATTGCCATTAATTGGTGTAAAAACTGCCTGTAGCTATGTTCCTTCAGACAGAATGGCGTTTTTATATATATCGAAGTGAGGAACATCGCATTGACTAATCTCGTGAACGCAAATGCCAACCGGTGTCAAATGCTACAATGAATAATAATTGAGTTGAAAGTGAAGGGGGAGAGGTGAAAAAAATAATTGAACTGAACAGATGTACAAAAAGAACTGGGACGTGGCATTGGATGTATACATTTAAACAAAACAAAAGCCGGGTATACGAGACGTCAAAAGTGGTCAAAACAAAACCAGACATTAGCAGACACATAAAAGATTTAGCAGCAAAACAAAATATTCTTGTCAGTGGATCATTTCAGGAACTTTTTCACCCCGCAGCGAGTTTAGAATATGATTTTAAGAAGTTGTTTTCTTTGGGGCTGTTGACAGTACCTTCCAGCTGCTTCGCAAGTGGGCCATATTTTAGCGATGTCACCGCCGCGAGCTAGCAGCGACTAAGGGGAGAGGGAGACACGGGAGCAGGGGAGATGTGACCGGCTGTCGTGTCGTCGCACCAGTGGACATGAGAAAACCATTTGAAGCATAAGGCACACAGGCAGGAGCGACAAATGGGGGCTCGTCCAAAAAGCCCCACCCCGCTCACACAATATGTAATTTGTGAGTCTGCCATGGGTGCCTATGTTCCCACACTTGTCACATTCATATTGTGTAATTAGCAAATCAAATCCGCAGCCAGGAATGCCTTACGGGGATTCCTCGATGCCTCCGGGCTGCCGTGCCGGTGCATGTCTAATAAGAGGTTTTTTAGGAGCTGAGATGTCATTTTTAAGTCAGAGGTGTTCGGGATAAAAAGCATGGCACTGTCTTGGCAGGTTTTGTTGCGGTGATATTTACAACATCGACAGTTTTGCTCCCAAAGATCTCGGAGTTTGGATCCTAACTTCAGTAGACAAACTGTTTCCCCCTCGGAGCTGTCAGGAGCGAGGCAGTTTATTACAACTTGGGCTTTTGTGAGCTGGCAACTTAATTTCAACACATAAATCATATCTGTATATTCCTGGAGAAAAGCCCTCAGAGCAACCAAAGTCTATAATGGACGCGCTAAAAGACGAGGCCACTTTTGGTGAGGGAACTAAGATTTACGCAAAAATCTCGTTTTGAGTTTGTCAGAGGAATTTGATGAAAGTGAAAGTGGCAGAGTCAATATTGTTTTCTACATAGCCACGTTTGCTTTGATAACTATGGTCTCGAGAACCTTGTAAAATGGGAAGAGATACGAGCGCGAGATCTCACTTTGAAGACCAGGTTTGATGATTGGAATGAACCAAAGGTTTCCTTTTAATTTGCCTAAAACTTTACCGCGAGGAATGAGTGCTGCCCACTCAGTTACCTTTGGAATTTCTCGAGCGAGTCACTTGAATCAGAGGTGGGCAGGCATGGATAATATTACAGATTTTGTTGCAGTTAGAAAGACTTTGAAAAATCTGAACGTACAGATTTTTTTTCTTTATTAAACCATTTCTTGGTCAGATTATTTGTCTTTTTTTACCTGGAAATGTTATGTGAAAAAGACAAAATTGGTGATACAGGACTACTAGAATCAATAACAAAAATACAAAAACTCATTGAAACATTGGGAAAGCTGCGACTTAGAAAGAGTCCTGGATTTAAGACCTCACATTGCAATTCTGCGCCACAAGGGTTAATTAATCTTTTATATTTATCTTTTACTAATTTGAAAAGCTGCAACAATGTCATTAATATACCACTATCATCATTCTTGAGCTCCAGTCTGCTGATCTGACATAATCGCCAGTTTTGTCTATACTTCCCGCTCGCCTCAAACACAACAAACTCGAACTACACCCGAGTTGTATCAAACCCCAGCGCAGCAATGACACTGCTCACTCGTGTACGTAAACAGTACTTAACAGCTGCAATAACCAAAGCCAAGCATCCCAAAAAAACACAAATAGGATCACCGTGGAGGACGTAAAGCACGGGTAAATGTACTACTCGGACTGCTTTAGCGTCCTGCCGGGAGAGGCCGTAAAAAACAGCCATGCTACAAGGCGTGCTAACATACACCGCAACCTCTCTCTACTTTGATGTGCAGCCCACTCCCACCCGCACACTCCCATCTCTGTGGACCCAACAGAGGAGGAGGTGTACCGATCGAACGAGTCTCGCTCCAGCCCTGTCAGCCATGATGGAGAATCTATGTGATGTGCATTGAAACTCACCCGTTTCAGTCGTTTGGGGGCAGTTTGGGGAAGAATAGAAGCAGATAAAGCATGATGGCGAAGGGAAAAGTGTGCGCTTATATAGAATGGATGAGCCGTAAGAAACCCAGGGACCGATGGAGTCAGAATGTAGAGGTAAGAAATGCGAGATTTTCATTGTAATTTCGTTTTATGAAATTTGGATGGTCTAGACTTGACATAGTTAGATTTTAACACAACTTAGAATCATTTGAATATGTCTTTTCTCTCAAGAAAATCTATCACTAGTTTTCACATCTTCAGCTTTTTCTGTCTGAAAAGTGAAAGAGAGAAAACCACCCTCACCCAGCCAAGTCTCAGTCCAAGAGTCTTACAAGTATGCAAATGATAAGTCTAATTCAATAATAATGCTGTGGTCTTGTTTGTTCACAACATTGTACTTTTATGGATCTTCTTTTGGACAAACATGTAGTATTTATGAAAGAGTAACCCAGATTTTAAGGAAAGACCATATAGTCTTTCATGTTGAGGCCTGAAATGTGTTTCCCTTTTTAAATACTGCTACAAGTTCAAGCAAAAGTTCAGTGCATGTCGGGGTCGACCTCCACCAATCACATAGTGTAATGTGCGCGGCTGTTCTGACCTAGCATTGACCAAAGAATAAATAGCCAAGACCTCGACAGCGTTGAACAGAAATGCTTGAGCTGCCGCTGCTAACACAATTGATGGTCGTGGCCGGCCTGCACGTCTCCCAGCCTCCTGCCCCTTGTGCCCTTGCTCTAAAGCGTGTGTTTTATAGTCTACGGCTCTGGCGGTGATAAAAATAAAAAATCCCAAGAGCTATATTGAGACACGCAATTCTGTCTGGATTCTCCAATGTGTCGCGTAATCCCCAAGATCGTCTCATTTGCCAAAATCTGGTGGGAACTTAAATAAACAGCTTTTTCCCTCCATTTATATTGTCTCATGTGGAACTATAATAAGAATGCTGCACTACGGTAGCCTCGTCTTACCATCATACTCATTTCATTTCGTACTAAGGTCTGGATTTGCTCCATTGAGCTCCGTTAACAGGTGGAAGGGGTTAACTCCTTTTGCAGATTGAAACCATTGGATCTGAGTTTACGTATCTGGTGGTGACGTATGTTAGCGACCTATGTTAGCGGCTTTAGCCATCTCCTTTGCCACTAAATGAGTCTGTGGGGAGTAGAGCCACAACATCTTTACCAGTGATTACATCTGCTAAACATTCCTCTTGTTCCAGCTTCAATTTCTTGATATTTGGATCCAGAACAGATTGAAGAGTTTTCTTTACTATCGCATTCGCCGCCATTGCGAAGCTACAACCTTGTAAACCGCTTTGAGACTCAGATCTGCAGTGAAAAGGCGGTATATAAATACTTACTTACTTATAAATACTTACTTACAACCAGCAAATTTGGCCCAAACTTTCAACGTCACCGACACCGACCTACAAGACTCATTGATTGGTCGGAGGGGATTCAGGGTAAGTTTACAGATGGCCAACGGTACAGACTTGAACTTTGCAACATTGAAAGTCTGAATGATGCAAACTTCAAAAAGTGAAATATAATATAATCCACTGACAAAATATTGCTCTTGTCTACAATCCAACCACAACACTCTTTTTTTCTGCAAACTGATGAAAAAGATCATAATAACACGAATAGGTGGCATACAGACAACATCCTGGCAACATATACGGTGTTATCAAATCGCCACACACACAAACACACACACACACACACACACAATCCAACACACACAGGCACACACACACACACACACACACACACACACACACACACACACACACAGGCACACGCTTGCACACACAGCATGACATCCTTCCAAAACAAAGACAAAATAAACAAGTAAAAAACTAGCATGCCGTGTTGAAACATTTACAATGAGATTTATTATGAGAATACTCCACATAAGGTTCAGGATATAGCAGTTCTTAAATTTTTCTCTGTCCCTCGGATTGGAGGGGTGTGAACATTAGTAAAAGTCTTCATTGTGATATAGTCTCCTTCCAGCAAATTGTTAGTCCAAGCGAGAGAAAAAAAAAACAACTCATAGAAGAAAAATGCACTTAAGAGGAGTGGCAACCAATGAGATTCTCTTATTCGCCAACATGTCCTTCCGATTCCAGTTATGATTTTCTCTTTGGCAAAAAATGGATTGGTGTGAGGCGCTGATACAGAGCTGGATCCTGTACAAAAAAGTCCAGTCGTGGTGATTGGGAGGCTCTATGGGAGGCTAGAAAGTGAAGGTAAAAGCTGGATAGGTGACTCCAGACAGAGAGAGAGAGAAATGGGGAGAGGGGCTGGTTCAACAGAGTCTGATCCCATCATTGGTAGCCTCCCTTGGGCTAAGCGTCGTACTTCTTCCCCGTTCTGTGGATGTGGTGGAAAAGCGTCATGGAGAACGCCATGCCCAGGAGCTGCGAAGAGACAAGCAGAAGAAGAATTGATGTAAGTATGTACGGGTTTATATACCATGTTGAGCTTCCTGTTTGATGTCGCTGCCCAGGGCTCGTATGTGTTTTGATGATGTGCAGTAAATCCGCAGTAAAGGAGCAACCATTTTCACGTTCTACTTCTACAGCGGCGTCTTCAGCAGCGGCCTTCCACAACGCCAGAATCTTCGCGATTGCAAATGTACAGTGCACGGCGAGCATTAACCCAATGACGTAAATTGAGATGCCACTGAATCAAAGTAGCCAGCCATCTCTTTGAAGTATTCCATTACCCCTGATGCTTAGACATCAAACACAGTCACAAGGATGATCCTAAAACCATTATCTAGCCAAGTTTGTGTGGAAAAACGGAAATGCTAAAGTGGGTCTCCTGTGCGGTGTGAGAAGAGCTCAGGCCGACTCTTTTCTTCAGTCGATTTAATGATCGCACCAGAAAAGCTCCTTCATTCAGCTGCTTTCCCTTCATTCTAAATGTCACCTTAAGAGGACAGAGGACATAGACCGTGACCGTCTGGAGGAAAAATACAATAATAACTACTCAGAACTTCTTACAGATATGTCTACATATGTAAACATACACTGTACATGTCTATATGGCACTAGACTTTGCTTTAGAATGCACTGGAAACGGGAACAAGTCCGAAGTTTACCGCAGTACAGTGTTCATGGTTTTACACTGATCCAGACCAGAGCAGAGAGGATGGTCCCAACCAAGCAGATCAAGCGGAAATCCACTGGAGGAATGCTCATTTTTGGAAGAAACCCCCCCCCCAAAAAAACATTTTTAACATATATTTCAAGTTTTAGCTCTTAGTATTCTTAGTATTTTAGCTCTTAGTATTCAATTTAATTCAAGTCCTAAATCACAAAAGTAGTTATCTCAGAGGACTTAACAAAACCGTTGAAATCACCAACACAGATCAGAGAATCAAACACTTCAAACTAAACATATAGAACGCATGGGTATTGGTCCATGGGGGGTTGATAAATGTCCATAAATGTTGTAGAATCTTAGTAAAGGTACAACACCTTATAAATTACTTAATCCATCTGTTGACAAACTAAAACATTTTGAAATTCTATTGGTTTGAATGAGAGCAGTCAAAATGACAGCTGTGGGAGTCCTAGTCTTAATAAATGTTCTTAAATCTCCTGGATCATTATTATCCTCAGACCCTCCTGCGTCTGCAAGGATCGACTCAAACACCCAATGGGAAAAGAATTCATGAGATCAATAATCCTACAATTTCTTTAATTTATATTCAAATGTGAATTAAGTTTCATGTGGCCGCACTTGGAGCACCTACAGTCCCGTGTTATTTTAACGTCTGTTAAAGTTTAATGCCGCTGCCTGCTACTTGCAAAAGAAATCCATGTTAATCTGCCGTCAGTCAACCCCAGAAAGGCATTTGGGGTTACACATGTGGTTTGACAGGATGACAGTGGATCCGCTGGGACACATTCTGCTCAATCATCCATTTTAACTTAAGAATATGTAAACAGGGCAGCGATTTCTTTGGCAGATGCAACTTTATAAGCTTCTGTCATATAGGGACAGGTCTAAATCATTTATGATCCAGTTCTTGGTGCCTCTGGCTATTATGTAATTTCGCAGACTTTGCAGTGCATCAACTTTTCATGATATTTCTCTCTGTCATGTCCTCCACCTTGTCTCAAAACACACTAATCTGACAGATCGGGGCCTTGTTTCCGCACTATCTGCTCTTCCTCACCTCTCACTGAAATCGTTCAAATTAATGTAGACTGGGTCATGGTTTCAAGGCATAGAAATTGTTGTAGAAACCAAGCTGGAAATTAGTTGATGATTGTGGATGCGTGGGTGTTTGAAGACGACGTGGAAAGGCACAATGCGAGGAGGAGAAGAAAGGAAACGAGTGAGATATGAGTTTTTATTTTCTTTTGAGTGCTGCTGAACTGCTGCCGCCTTCCAGGGCTTTATAATTGCACAAGAGTTTGACACCGGCTTCGATCGGCTCAAACGTCACATTTATGGGCGGTTGTGGACTCGCTAAGCTGAGACTGACTGAGTGACACAGTGACAGAGAGAGCGAGAGAGAGAGAGAGAGAGAGAGAGAGAGAGAGAGAGAGGTCAAGAAAGAGACAGAGGCAGAGGCAGAGGCAGAGACAGAGACAGAGGCAGAGGCAGAGACAGAGGCAGAGGCAGAGACAGAGGCAGAGACAGAGGCAGAGGCAGAGACAGAGGCAGAGACAGAGACAGACAGAGGCAGAGGCAGAGACAGACAGAGGCAGAGGCAGAGACAGAGACAGAGGCAGAGACAGAGGCAGAGGCAGAGACAGAGGCAGAGACAGAGACAGACAGAGGCAGAGGCAGAGACAGACAGAGGCAGAGGCAGAGACAGAGACAGAGACAGAGGCAGAGGCAGAGGCAGAGGCAGAGACAGACAGAGGCAGAGGCAGAGACAGAGACAGAGACAGAGGCAGAGGCAGAGACAGACAGAGGCAGAGGCAGAGACAGAGACAGAGGCAGAGGCAGAGGCAGAGACAGAGACAGAGACAGAGGCAGAGGCAGAGACAGAGGCAGAGACAGACAGAGGCAGAGGCAGAGACAGAGACAGAGACAGAGACAGAGACAGAGGCAGAGGCAGAGACAGACAGAGGCAGAGGCAGAGGCAGAGACAGAGACAGAGGCAGAGGCAGAGGCAGAGGCAGAGACAGAGACAGAGACAGAGGCAGAGGCAGAGGCAGAGACAGAGACAGAGGCAGAGGCAGAGACAGAGGCAGAGGCAGAGGCAGAGGCAGAGACAGAGGCAGAGGCAGAGGCAGAGACAGAGGCAGAGGCAGAGACAGACAGAGGCAGAGGCAGAGACAGACAGAGGCAGAGGCAGAGACAGAGACAGAGGCAGAGGCAGAGGCAGAGAGAGAGGCAGAGGCAGAGGCAGAGACCAGTAGCGGCGCCAGGTTTGCAATTTTGGGTAGGCCTGCAGATTAGTAAGTAGGCCAAATTCGCTTGCAAACTACAAAGGCTAGCTGGAATTGGGGTTTCAAAGAATATGGCTCAAACGCACACACGCACGCACACGCACTCACGCGCGCACATACACACAAGCTCATTTATGAAACTTGCGTAGAAAAAGGTGTACATTTTGGGTGTATATTCCATTTACGCAAAATCCACTGTCGGATTTATGAACGTGTGAGATCCGCCCAGATCTGAGCGTACGCAGCTGCGGGTGTTGATAAATCGACTGAATACGAACGTATTTAGTCACGCCTATTATGCAGCAATCGCGTGTTTCACGCCCCGTCTTCGTGACAGGTCAGCAGGAAGCCGGCCAAAAAGACTGTTTGGAAGCCTCAAAAGGCACGTTTGTTTGTTCATGTTTATGTAATAATAAATATGCGCTATATATTCAGCTGCGTTTTGAACAAATTTGCCAAAATGTTTTGATAAATTAGAAAAATCTTTCTTGAATTGTAGAAGTGAATAAATATAGATTGATTGAATGAATGAATAATTCATGTATATTATGCAGCGGTGGCTCTGAATGAAGCGTCTGCAGCGTCTTGGACGCAGCCTGGCTCGGGGTAGAAGTGCGCATTGAAGCGCTGTACACTTCATAGAGAGCGTTTGCGGTCCAGATTTCACAAAGAAACTCTGAAGCCAAAACTTCTGCACATGTGGCGCGACCTCTCACGGCACTCGCTGCGCACTCTGGACAGGGCAGTGAGACATTTGTGAGTGAGCAATACCATCGATGTGTTATTGTGGTGTGTGTCTGTGTGAGGCTTACACAAATCTAATGAAATAACACATTGCTTTACCAAATGTGAATGAGGCCGTGCGTAATTACGCAGCGCAGAGCGTGCCACAGCAATAGACGGGTCACACATCCCTGTTGCGTAAAGTGTATTTATATAGAGCCTTTGACTGTCCAGGATCACAAAGAGCTTCACATTTTAAAAACATACAGATCAAAATAATACACACACAAGTCAGATTTAATTGAGGGTCCTCATCATGAGCTGTGATTTATTCGAAGTTTGCGTGTTTCCATTAGACTTTTTCTGATGCGCAAATTCAAATTTTGAAACATGATCCTCAATGAAAACACAGCATATTATTTTGCCAGAGGGAATATGTTTATTGTTGTCCATATCTTGAATTTCATGCGTGTTTTGGCGTGTTGTGCCGAAGGTTGAGATCAGCGTATAGATTTACACCACCTCCAGACCTGGCGTTTATTTTTTGCGTATTGTACGCTCACGTCCAGATAGATAAATGCGGAAAAGTGTAATATTTTGCGTACGCCTCATTTACACCCTGATTTGGCCGTACGCAGGTTTCATACATGAGGCCCACAGTGAGTCTCACACAGGCCTAGAGTTTAATCTCATCAGTGCGAGGCCAGCCTGGCCTGACCGCGCTCTCCTCCTCTGGGACCTACGGGCCCGGGCCTCTGGCTACTCTGCCTCTCGAAGTTCACGCTGAACTTTCTTAAAATTAAAATGAAAAAGGCTGCTCTGTTGTGAATGCTTTGAGAGCGTTGTCAATCTTTAAGACGAGGAATAGCTGGTTGTTCTCGCTTCACGCTGTGTGATATGATATTGGACAAAATTGTTCAGCCAATAAACAGGACCATATTTGAAGCAACGTAGGAACGTGATGACGCTCAGGGGGTTATATTATTATTATAATTAGTATTATTATTATATCCCCCACTGTAGGAGCCAATAAACTTTTCAATATTTTTGGAATTCTGAGCGTTTCCAATGTGTATTTAAAAATGGGAAACCTAATTAAACAATCATGAATTGAGCTTTTCCGATCTTATTTTTACACTGATTCCTTTGATCATTTTTTTCTTAAAGTTCAAGTTGTAAAAATGCTATGTTTGGAATTGGTATTTACATTTTAACTGTGAGTGACACGTTAAGGCGGGACAACAATGCACAATGACGCACGCATTCTGAATTAGAATAATATGTTAATTAAATATCTCTAATAACTAAAAGAGCA